AAAGAAAACTTGAGTTTTATTGTTAAATTGTTAAAATATTTTGTAAACAAATTTTGTAAATATATATTAGAATTTGAATTACAAGAAGTTGTAAAGATTTTTGCACTTTAAAACCTCTAACTGTATTATGCTTCAATATGAGTTTTTTTTTGTAGGTATTTATTTATTGCCCAATAGAGTTTTTAATTTTATCCAGAGTTGTTTGTTGCTTGGCCTTAGTTAAATCAGTCATATTAAGTAACAACTTTAAGGTAACCATTGCACATAGTGAGTGTTTTTTTTAATATATTACTTTATTAAATATTAAAATTTATTCCTTATTACATTTTTTTTTTTTTTGTACTTGTTTTAGATTTAGAGTTGAATGAAAATAAAGAAGAAAGAAAAGACTGTATTTTTGTGTATTTGGATTGCTTTTGATTTACTTATATTTATTTTAATTATTTAACTAATATTATTACTTAAAGATAAGTTTGTAAGTATATCTATATTGTAAATATATATAGGGATATGTAATATAATTATATTATTATGTGCTTGTATATACTTTATCAAAATTGTGAATAATATTTTTGAAAGCGTTTATTACTTTACTGATTTTTTGTTTATTTGTGTTTTTACTGTTGAAGTGAAATTTAAATATCGGAGATTTTAATACTTTTTCAGAAAATATTTTCAAAAACATACAATCGATTTTGTATATATAATAAAGCTGTTATGACAGTTAATTTTTTTGTTTGTTTTGTTTTTATATATAACTGCATCTTTTGATGTTGGTACATAAAATATCATATTTTATGTTTACATTTATTTTAATAATATTTGAAAATATTAAGTATTTGTGAGTTGTTTTGATTTATGCTCTTCTAGTTAGTTACGGAGGTATGCTATTCTAACAACCTGCAGGTCACGATCCATTTCCGAAAACGCCACAGATATATGTAGGTGAAGACTTTTTAGCAGAAAACTGATTCATAGAAAAAAAAGTATAGGTGTTAAAAAGAAGTAATAGGGTTAAAAAGAAGGCATATGTAACGAGAAGGAGCAATCATTTAAGTCTTTTTTCAAAAATTATAAAAACTGCAGGGTAACATGACATAAATAAGAAATAAAAAGTATACCTTATTTCATTAAAATTCTAGTTTAACAATATTATTAAAAAATAAGTGTCCGGTTTATCTCATTTCTAGTTCTTTTCGTAATATGTAGATGTTATATTATTTGTTGTTACTTTTCTTATAATTACGAATTCAATCACAATTTGTTATAATTATCAAAAATTTTTAATCTTACTTAACTTAATTACTTATTAATATATTTTTAATTAGTAAATAATGTTTACTTACTTATTATATATCATATAATAAATTTATTATTGAAATTTAATTATTTATTTATAAAAAAAAGCTATCATCAATAACATAGCTTTATAGGTTATTTGTTTAAGTAATTTGTTTCTATAAACAAATCAAATTTAATATCAAATTTAACAGGTTTGCTATTCCGAACGACAATATAAATATAGGCTAATAGATATACAAAAAACAATCAATATGATTGTTTTTTGCTATAGTTATTTATATTATTTATTATTTTAAATATTATTTATATATAAAACAATATGGTAGAAGTAGTTATTTATTAACTATTACCCTAGCCGACTTTCGGCACAGGTATCCTTTTCCTAACTTATTTTATCTGATTATAGTGATGGTATTCTTATGGATTTTTATTTCATTTACAAATGTTAATTTAGATTGAACACCTAAGTATTTTTAGGTGCAAGCTGCCTTTCTTTATAAAATGCCTAGAAGTTGTTGTATTTGGAATATCTTCGAAATGGCTGTTACAACTCATACAAAGTGTACTGTTTGCAAAAATAAACTTTCTGCTAGAGTAGGTATTACTTCAGGTTTTGTTATTCATCTAAAAGGGCAGCACTACCGAGTTTTTTTGGAATTTTATAAACTTAACTTAGCCTAACGGTTTTCAAAAAAGAGTCGACTTATTAATGATAGAAACTCATCAGGAACCGATAGCAGCAATCCACCAAAACGAGCTCGTCTTGTTGCCATTTCTGAGATATTTTTAATATTAACTGGTAAATTGTCTCAGATATTAATATCTGCGACAATTTTTAATATTAACTGGTATATTGAGACCTGCTTATGCTCCTAAAAAGTCTCGTGTTGTCACTCCATTGTTCAATAACCATTTTGAAATGTTAACATAGTTACAGCATTTACTAGAGGATCGTCAACAATTACATTTTAGGTAGCGAGCAGTTAACGTTTTCATAAAATAATGAAGCAAGCAACGAAGTATAACCCTGTTTCATTAAAACCGCTTTCTCAAGACAGATTTCCAAAATTAGAAACATAAATAACGGGTTGCTTACTGCTAGTACTTCATAAACATAAATGATAGTATGTACAACGAGTTTCTTACTGCGAGTACTTTATACAAATTGTATATTTTGTTTTTAAATTTTTTTTCATTAATTTATTATTTATTTGTGTATTTGCCATTAAAATGATGTTTAAATCACGGAAATGTTTACAACTTTTATATAATTCAAAAAAAATGTAAAAAGATTTTTGATAAAATGCAATCGATTTTATATCCAAAGTATCCAATAGATTTAGTTTTTTAAAAAATTTTTATAAACGGAATAATAAAGGCAATATTTGGAATTCTAAAAGCTGCAGTGACTAAACCTACTGTTGCTTTATGGAAAAGACCCATTGTATTTTAACGAAAATATTCGTTAATTTACGGAAACATTCGTTAACATGCAATAGGTTTTCCCGTAAAAAAAGGGAGGTTTGGTCATATAAGCTCCTAGAAAATTGTTTTAAAAAGCGTGATAAGAAAAACAAATAGGCGTTGTTATAAATAATAAATCCAACCTATTTTGTAAAACTCCACCAAAACAGACTTATTTTAAAAAACTTTTCATAGACTTTTTAAAACCAACACGCTTCTTCTTTTATGTTTAAAATTTATTTATAATTGTTCTTATTAATTTTATATAATTATTTTGATATATTTATAAGAATATGAATCTCTAATATGTTTTGATGTATCTACCATCAGTGATTCTGTATATGGATATCATTATGAAATTAATTTCCAAATTACACGGACTTGTGTTATTGAAAACAATGTTTCTTTTTTAACAATTAACAAATTTTTATTCAATTTAAAATCTTATACTCGTCAACTACAAAAATGTTTAAAAATCATTTTTGAACTCAACACCAGTAATAATTTATAATTAACTAATGTAACATTTTTGAATCTTTATATTAAGTCTTTTTACTAAACAATAATTATTTCTACACCTTTAAGTATTTTTTTTTTGCAATTTAATATAGATAGTTTTCCAATTTATCACAGCTAAAAATTAAAATAAGTTATTTATTGTTATCAAAAGATGTAGTCAAACTTTGTAGAAAAAGAAAACCCATTTTACAGTTTTTTCCCAATTAGTGACTGAGATAAAGTTTCTTATCAGCAACATTGTTAGTATCAACTTACACATATGGAGTTTTTATATAATTATTTTTGAATGTGATTCCCCGTGACGTTTATTTAATACATTTAAAAAGTATTTTTTAGGTTATTCTAGCTATAAGAGGTAACGTGTTGAGGGTTACTGACGTAGCAAAGTTATACTAGGAGAAAAAAATTTGTTGCATGTGAAATTTTTTATTTTTTCGAAAACAGATGATTCTCACCATATTTATAAAGTATATTTTATTGTAATCACTTATCATTCAATTAAAAGTTTTCAAAATGAATAAAAGCATTCTATCTGTGTAAGTGTACGGATACTTCTAAATATTCATTTACTGGAATGTTTAGTGTCAAGAGATTTTCACATCAGATGAACACTATATAAGGTTGTTATATCCATATTTTATACTTCTGGCCAAAAGATTGTAACAAATTGCTTAGTTCAATAGAGAGTTTTAAAAAGTCAAAAACAACAAAATTTCTAATATAATCAGTAAACAAGTTTATAAATATTTATTTCTTTTGCATAACTCCAAACTTTGTTTTGTAGATCTAAAGAGCAGAAACATTTTATTTTTTTTAATAAACTGTTAAAAATTTTAGTTTTAAAGTCTGTTACATTCTATAGCACATTATCTAAGTCATTGAAAGTGCATTGGCTGGATTATCTTTACAATTAATGTTATATTTGAACACAATGGCGCTTTTGATATTTTTTATTTAAAAAATGCAATAAATATTTAAATTAAAGGATTTAAAGTGGATGTTGGTAAATTTATATTATGTAGATATATCTGAAGACATTTTAAGTTCCAAATTACTTCGGCTATTAACAACAAATTTATTGAGCCCAAAGTGCATATTACTTATTTCCGACCGATGAGATTTTATATATTGTGACCTGTGCTCAGTCAGGCAATGTACTTACATTTAACTTGCTTTGCCAATAGTTATGCTCTAAAACATGGTATGAACTTTAGCATTAATAAATCACACGTTATATTATACTTTTAAAAAAAACAAGCTCTTATATACAGACCTCCGTTTTACACTATCCAATAATGTGTTCTCATAAATAGACTCCTAAATATGACATTTGTAGTGTTCATATGTGATAAATGGAGAGCCGATTTATACTTATAAAAGTTCTTTGTTTATCGTCAAAATTATTTTTATTATTCAAGAACACTATGTACTTTTAGTAGTTTGAGGCGTGATGTCTCTCAATAAAAGTGATATATCAATTGAAACCTCTTTAAAAATCATTTTATGAAAATCTTGAAAAAACGTTCATCTTTGTTATTTCCTCAAAATAAAAGCTTTATGTCACATATAGAAGTTAAACAAAAATATTGTTTTAAAAACATATTTTTCTAAGACTTTTATATAAAATATATTACATTTTATGTTATTAGTAATACATAAAGAAAGTTTCTTAATTAACCTCAAAAGTAATTAGAAAAAAGAAACAAAAATAATACCTGGCGAACATGTCTTGCCGTTAGATTGTAAAATGTATCCAGAATAACAAGAACAACTTGCTGACGAACCATATGTAATGCATTTTTGAGAACATCCTTTAGCTCTGCAAGGATCTTGAAAAAAAGTGTTTCCATATCACACAAGTAATAGATTTATATAATAATACTTAAAAATAGTAATGAACGCTGTAATGACAGTCAATTTTTATTTTTTTTATTTTTATTAAAATCATTTATTAAAACGAATGGGAAAAAAAAAAAAAAAGTTAAAAATGAGACTAATAATAAAATAAGTTCAACGTATACTTTTTTTTTTGTGCAAAAAAGTTAAAAAACTGCTTTTTTGTATTTTTTGTTTTGAAAAATTATTAAAATATATGCTTGTGATATTGCGTATTGATATAAAAAAATGTTATTTAATTCTTTTCTTTAGGATTTCATTTTTTTAATCATAGTATAGACCCACTTTCTTCTTTATGCTGAACGTTTTCGATGGAATAGTTAAATTAAGACTTTCATTAAAAAAGTAACTCTTTTCGATAATTATGACCTTCCAACCCTCTTGTTCTCCTTCATTTTCACTAAATTGTTGCTTCATAGTAGGAAGTTTTAAATGAGTCGTTGCAAAACCTCCTAACTTCCCCTCTCTACCTACCTCTTGTAGTGTTACCTACTTTATGGACAATCACTAATAAAAACAAAATTTTCACATATACATACCTCCGTTTTACACTATCCAATAAAGTGTTCTCATAAACAGACTTTTGAATAAAACTTTTTTATTGTTCTTATGTGTTAAAATAGAGAGCCGATTTATACTTATAAAATTTCTTTGTTTATAGTAAAAGTTATTTTTATTCTTCAAAAACACTATGAACCTTTAGTAGTTTGAGGTGTGATATATCAAATAAAACATATTTAAAAATCAGTTTTTTAGGTGTAATATATATCAAATAAAACATTTTTAAAAATCAGTTTTTGAAAATCTTGAAGAAATGTATATCTTTGTTATTACTTAAAAATAAAAGTTTTATGTCGCATTAAGGAGTTAAATGAAAAGGTTGTTTTAAAAACATATTTATCTGATCACTTTTATGTAAATTATCGTACATTTAATTTGATTAGTTATACATTAAGAAAATTTCCTTATTAACTACAAAAATAATTAGGAAAAAAACAAAATTAATACCACTTAAACATGTTTTCCCATCAGGTTGTAAAATAAATCCAGAATAACAAGAACAAATTGCTGACGAACCATATGTATTGCAAAAATGATAACAACCTTTAGCTCTGCAAGGATCTTCAAAAAAGTTAGTTCCATATCACACTAGTACTAGATTTTAATAACCTTACTTAAAAATAATAATGAAAGCTGTTATAACAGTTAATCTTGATTATTTTTGTTTATATTTTGATAAAATCACTTATAATAACGAATGAAACAAAAAAAAACAGAAAAAAACAGAAAAATTTAAAATTGAGTTTAATAATAAAGTTAGTTTAACTTATGCATTTTTTAAACTAAAAACATTTTTTTTTTTTTTTCGCTTTTTTTTAAAAAAAAGTAAAAAATTGCTTTAAGAATTGTTTTTTTTGAGAAATTATCAAAATAAATGTTTTTGATATTGCATATTATTAAAAATAATACTTTTTAGTTGCTTACTTTAGATTTCTTTTTTTAATTATAGTGTAAAACCATTTTCTTTTTTAGCTGAACAGTTTCATTGGAACAATTAAAATAAGTCGTCCATGAAACACGCAACTCTTTTTCAATAAGTTATGACCTTTAACCCTCTTCTTCTCCTTAATGGTCACAATGTTTTTATAAAAACATTTGCAATGTTTTTTTGAAAACATTTGCTTTGTTTTATTGAAAACATTCGCTATGTTTTTTTGAAAACATTCGCAAAATTTTTTTGAAAACATTCGCAACGTTTTTTTAAAAACATTCGCAACGTTTTTTTGAAAACATTCGCAACGTTTTTTTGAAAATTTCCTAATGTTTTTTTAAAAACATTCGCAATGTTTTTTTGAAAATATTCGCAATGTTTTTTTGAAAAAATTCGCAATGTTTTTTTAAAAACATTCGCAATGTTTTTTAAAAACATTTCTAATGTTTTAAAAAAACTTTTTTAATGTTTTAAAAACCATTAGCAATACTTTTGTTAAAAAAAACTACATAAAAACTACATGAGTTTGCTATATTCACATTTTAACATTTTGATCAAAAGGTTGTAACAGATGCTTTATGTCGATAGAAAGTTTTAATGTGTTAAAGACAATAAAGTTCCTAGTTTATAAACAGTTTCTTTTTTTGCGTAACTCCAAAATTTTTTTTGTACATTTCAATACCAAAAACCTATAAACTTTTTGGATAAACTAATTAAAATTTTATTTACGAAGTCTGTTACAATATATGGTACATTATTTATGTCATTGAAAGTGCCAAAGGCTTGACTATTTTTTAGTCAAATTTTTATTTGAATACCATGACACTTTCTGTATTTTTTCTTGAAAACTGCTACAAATAATTAATGTAAATAATTCAAAGTTGATGTTGGTATACCTATATTACATTGGTTTTTTTGAAGACAAAGTAAATTCCTATTTACTTCGGCTGTTAATTAATAATTTTATAGAGCTTAAAGTGCCATATTACTGATTTTCGCCTAATAAAATTTTATATATTGTTATCTGTGCCTAGTCAGTCAATGTACTTAATTTTATTTTGCTTAGCCAACAGTTATGCCCAGAATTAAGATCTAACTTTTAGCATTAATAAATCACACGTTATGTTAGATTAAAAAAAAAAAAAGCTCTTATATACAAATTTCCGTTTAACACTATCTAATAATGCTCTCTTATGAACAGATTCCTAAATATGACTTTTTTTAGTGATCATATGTGTTAAAATGGAGTGCAAATTTTTACTTATAAAACTTCTTTGTTTATTGTCAAAATTATTTAATGTTTTCAAGAACATTATTTATTTTTAGTAATTTGAGGCGTGACGCTTCTCAATAAAAGTGATATATCAATTGAAATATTTTTGAAAATCATTTTGCGAAAATATCGAAGAAATAAATATCTTCGTTTTTTCTTAATAACAAAAGCTTTATGTCGCATTTGGGAGTTAAATAAAAATAATGTTTAAAAAGCATATTTATCTGATCACTTTTATATATAGTATCGTGCATTTTAATCTATTATTTATACATATAGAAAGTTTTGTGATTAACTGCAAAAGTTAATAGCAAAAAGAAACAAAAATTATACCACGCAAACACGTTTTCTCATCAGGTTGTAAAATGTATCCAGAATAACAAGAACAGTTTGCTGACGAACCATATGTATTGCATAAATGAGAACAACCTTTAGCAATGCAAGGATCTTAAAAGTAATTATTTTTATATCACAACAATACTAGATTTTAATAACATTACTTAAAAATAAATTTTAAAGCTGTAGTGACAGTTAATTTTTTTCACTTATTATCAATTTCACTTATTATAACGAACGAAAAAAAGGAGAAAAAAAAAACTCAAAATTGAGACAAATATAAAAATAAGTTTAACTTAAGCATTTTTTAAACTAATGACTTTTTTTTTGTATTTTGCTTTTTTTTCAAAAAAGCCAAAAAATTGCTTTTAGCATTGTTTGTTTTGAGAAATTATCAAAATAAATGTTTTTGTAATTGCATGTTAATAAAAAAAATGTTTTTTTATTATATACTTTACGAATTCTTTTTTTAACCATGGTACAAAACCATACACGTAGCTCTTTTTTGATAATTTATGACATCCGAACCCACCTCTTCTTCTTCATTGTCACAAAATTGTTGCTTCAAAGTGGCAAGTTTTAAGTGAGTTGACACAAAACATTCTAAACCCCTCACCCCTTTCTCTCTAGCTACCTTTATTAGTGTTACCTACTTTGTGGACAATCACTAATGAAATCAAAATATTTTACAAAATGTTTTAAAAAACATTGTGTGTAAAAAAAAGTGTTTTAAAAAACATTGTTTTTAAAAACATAAAAAACATTTACAAAACATTTTTAAAAAACATAGAAAATGTTTTATAAAACGATAAAATTGTGTGTAAAAACATTGGAATTATTTTTAAAAACATTCAGCAGTGAGAGCTCTCATTTTTAAATTGTAAACTAACGCGATCATAAAACTTTATTTGTATGTAAACGTTTATAGATTGTTTTTAAAACATTTAGAATGTTTTTTAAAACATTTAGAATGTTTTTAAAACATTTTCAATGTTTTTCAAACATTTTCAATGTTTTTCAAACATTTTCAATGTTTTGAAAAACATTTTCAATGTTTTGAAAAACATTTTCAATGTTTTGAAAAACATTTAGAATGTTTTTTCAATGTTTTTTAAAATATTTTCAATGGTTTTTAAAATATTTTTTAATGTTTTTAATAATATTTCCAATATTTTTAAAAACATTTCTAATGTCTTTTTAAACATTTCCGAAGTTTTTTTAGTCTTTTCCAATACTATCAAACAGACTTTTGCAGTCTCCATATCTGTTATAATAAACAGACGATTTAGACTTAATAAACATTTTTCTTAAATTTGACTTTAATTTTATATGCTTTTTTTAACAACTAAATGTGTTTTTCATATTTTTGGCCTTAATAAAATCTTTTTACGGAAACCTTAAATAACTATACCTTTTCATTATTTTAAGCCAAGCTTTAAAAGTATGAAAAAAAAAATAATAATTATTTCGCATATAGGAGTTTCATATAAACAATATTATAAAAAATTTTTGATTTGATTATATTTTTTATAAAATAAATTATATACAATTTTATTAGTAATACATAAAAAAAGTTTTTTAATTACCTACAAAATTTATTAACTAATAGAAGCAAAAATAATACCATACAAGCACGTTTTGCCATCACTTTGTAAAATATATCCATAATAACAAGAACAATTACTTGACAAATCAAATGTATTACATCTTTGAGAACAACCTTTAAACCAGCAAGGATCTTAAAAAAAAATCATGACACTAATACTAGATTTTAACAATGATAGTTTTAATTGCCTAGGGATTTTTATACGGGGTGGATTCGGCATTTGAGATTTCGACTCCATCTTTATAGGGAATAAATATACATAAACAAAACCAATCTCAGTTGTTAAAAGAATGTTTTTTTCAATTAAGAAGATTATTTTTAGACGATTGCGCATCTACAAGTTGCACTCTTTACGAGTTGCATATCAGAATATTTAAATTTAAACTGTATCCTTTCCGTGCATAAAAACATATATAAAAGGCATATTGACGTTTTGTAGTTGAAGTTTTCTTGGATTCTACTAGCATCCCGCCCTCAACTATCTCTATAATCAGAGAAGAATCATTCTATCACTTCATTTCTTTTTAAAAATTATACTTTTATAAGAGAATGCAGTTTAAGACAGAATGAAAAACTGTGACTTTAAAAACGGTTCTTCTTGCTGTAGTTTTATTTAAAATTAAGATTATACCGATATTTTATTTTGTATTGCTGGTTTCAACAATATTATTTTAAAACTATTGGTTTCTAAAAATGTCGATATGTCCTTTTATTGTTATTACTTATAAAAAACTTTCATGAAGCAAAGGAAAAAATATCATGAGTTAAAATATGATATTGTAAAAGTAAAAGTTTTTTTTTTTTTTTTTTTTTTTGATCTTGTATAACCAAACACAAAACAGTTATTGTCATAAACCTAGAAAATTACAATTCCAGAGAGAAATTATAAAAATAAAAAATAATATAAAGTCAAAAACAAAGAATACAAACTTTTGAATCGGATTGTTACAACGTTTTATCTTCACGTGTAAAATCTACATCACTATCTCTACAATCCCTTTATAAAAATGCTTTCGATGCTTTTTCTATATAAAAATGCGTCGTAGTTATGATAAAGAAAAATAAACTTATAATACTAACTTCTTTAGATCACAAAAAATTTGTTTTGAGAAGTAATATTATTTGCATATTGGAAAAAACATATACACTCCAACAAAATCTACAAAGAACATTATTTTACTAAAGTTGTTATGTAAATAATAACAAAAAATGTGTTCAAGCAAAGAAAACAATTTTCTATCCTCTCAACTTTTTTACCATGATATTTATCAACAAAAACAAAAAAATTTAACTAAAATAAGTATAGAAAAGTTCAGACTCATGGCTAAACAAAGTAGCATGATTCAAAGTTCTTGTTGTGCGTATTCTGAAAAAAATTCAACATTTTAATGTACCACACTAGTTTTCACTACCTGGCATTAGATAATATAGATATGTAAGTATTGCTGAAAAAATATAACTTCCATGTGCTGAAATACCATTATTCATCAAATAACATAATACTTATTCAGTTTGTGAAGTATTCTAGTGAGGAAAATCAAGAGTGCTGCATTACAATTTGCAGTTTGAAATTGTGTTGAACTTTTTGAAATTGTGCATATTCTATAGTCATTAAAGTTAAACGATGTCCATTCTTGGCGATTCCATTGTCCAACAATAACACAAAATATTATCCATGCAACAAAAAATATTAATTGTGCATTTGGAAACTAGCAAAACATGGGGCATATCAACCAAAGCATGAATACAAGTTATTAAAAATAAAATAGTTTAGGTATTTTATCAATAGCTCAATTACGAGTGTATTTACATTCTCAATACGCAATAGTAAATGTGGACTAGCAACATCAAAAAAAATATTGCAATTTGATAAAAGGTAATTTCATTATAACGGATTATTTTTATTAATGTATTAGGTTTCAATAAATTTGTTGATAAAGATTTACTTTTCACTTTTAATAATAATTGGTTATTTTATTTTGGGAGAACTTTTACTTTTATAGACTCATTTTATTTTTCAAGTATCTTTCTGCATTACCTTTTTCTAGCTTTTTATTTAATGGTTTATTTCTTTATAATGAAAAAAATAACAAAACTAAATTGTTTTGTCATTATTTTGTCTATTATATTAAAAAAAGATATTTACTCTTTAAAATTACTCTTTAAAAAACCTTTTAGATAATAGGAAATAGTAGGTGGAGTTTCTTGAATTTTCGGGTTGTTAGCAATATTTAGTTTTATTATATATCCATTCTATTTATATCTATTTATATCTATCGGAGAATTTTTGTTAGTGAATGATTGAAGAACTAAAAATTATTAAAAACAGATTAAATTTATCTGTTTGAATTCAATTTTTCATTTTTTGCATAAACTTTCATAAATAACATATTGTAGTACTGATGTAGATTATATGTTATAGATGTTACCTATATCTGAACTCCAATCTTCATAAAATTAATCCATTCGACCAATTTATTGAAATTAAGAATATTGAGCTTAAACAAAGTATTACTTTACTTATGTCCCGTCTCCTTTTATTTTTGTACCAAAGTTATTTTAACATAAATATGAAGTATAAAACCACTTTATATTGTTATTATTTTTGAATTATTTTTGAATAGTTATTTCAACAAAAAACACCCAAAATTTGACTATCAAAGTCATTTACAAAATCTAAAACAACGAAAAACCTTTTATAATTAACTAATCAAAGCCGCCATTTCGTTCATTTATCCCCTATGAAAAAGTCATACAATAAAATCGCACACTGTAAAGGTCCCAAATAATAATAGTTGTAATGTTAGTTGCTTTTTTATTATTATTTTTTAATTCTTATCTAAACAACCTTCTTCATATATTTTCACTAGATAAATGTACACACACACACACACACACACACAAAAACTGTTTAAGCTTTGAAAGGAAGGAAAAAAATCATTTTTGAATGTCTGCTTGAAAATATTTCTCTGTTCTTTTATAATTCACCAATTTAATAAGTATTTCAATTTTTTCGCAAAACCTTTTGAGATTTTATCCCCCGCCACCACAAAACGTATTCTATTTTTTTCATTCTTAAATTTTTCAAAACATAGTTCACTAATATGACACACTTGCTGGACATTATCTACTAAAGATTTTTTAGGGTGAGATTGAATAATGTCATTCACCGATTTGTTATCCAAAACACGAATAAATAAGTACAGTTTATTTTTGTGAATATTTTTTCATATGTCTTTAATTTTAAATAACGAGTGTAAATAATTTTTGCAATGTTTTGAAAGGATGAAAAACAATTTTAATGCGCTCTTTCCGATAATGTCTAGGTTTTGCATTGTTACGTAATTGGTTTTACAAAGTTCTATACCGTTAGTTAATTTTCGTACTATCAAGGTTTGATCTAATTGTGTAATAGATTTAGGATGAGCAAAACGGATTTCATAAAAAGTAAGAGTTTGGACAGCTGCCCTAAAATTAGATATTTTTTCAGCAATGTTTACCCGATTAAATGTGGCAAATGTAGAGTGCTTCGTATCCCATGTAACCTAAGTGTTTCAGTCTATTGTGTAAATTTGTTTAACATCGAGATATATTGAGCAACTTTGTAACTGTCTTTTACCTGTCAGGAGTAACTCTGTTTTTTCAGGGTTTAGTTTTATGCAATATGAATTACAGAATATATTACAAATTTTGATTAATTCTTCCAGACCAGATAGAGTGGAACTTAAAAGCATAATATCATCAGCATACGCTACACACAAGTAAAGTTACTATATATAGACGTACCTATATTACTTTCATTTTTAATGGTTTTGAGAAGGTCCCGAGTACAAATATTATGAAAGTGCGGAGAAGGAATTGAACCTTGTCTTACTCCTTGTTTAAGATAAATTTATTTGATTTGCAGCGTTGGTATGAAACAGTTGCACTGCTATTATAACATAATGAAAAAAAATTGTCCTAACTATATACAATGGTAGTTTTTTATTAAAGTACAACTTATCAAAGATAATTTCCAAATTACAGCTATCAAAGCTTTTTTCGGCATCCAAGGAGCATAAATATACAGTTGAGTTTTTACTATTGTAATATTTAATTGTTTCACTAATTACAAATTTTGTATGAAGGGGGGAAGAGTTAGATTAAAATCCGAATTGAGCGGGTGAGTGTTCGGAATCTCCGGACATATTAATAAAAACAGATATTTTAAAATTTTTCTAAAAAACTTTAGAACATCTGATTTTAATGATGTTCTAAAATTCTGATGTCCGGAGATCAAGAATAGCCAAATAAGCTTAAACAATAATATAATAAATCAATTAAGTCGCTCAAAAAAAAACTCTATTATCATTGTTTTTATTATTATGATAAAATCAATTATTTAATTAATTAATATACAAGAAAGGGGAGGTTTGCTGCTTTTGTGACAATTCACTCAAAACTTACTACTTAAGTGTAACAATATTGTAACGAGGATGAAAGATGGCAGAGGGGGAAGGTTAACAACCGTCGAAAAACGCTTTATGTATTTTATGGACAACCCGTTATTTTAACTACTCCATCGGAAATGTTCAGGAACAGATAAGAAAAAGATATTAAACGTGGTTAAAAAAAAAAATCATAAATTAAACGTATAAAGAAATTCTTTTCTATCAAAATGCAATTGCAAAAACATTTATTTAGATAATTTCTTATTACAATCAATAACAAAAAAAATATTAATTTGAAAAAAAAAATACAAAAAAAAAAAAAAAAAAAGCTTAAAAAAAGCACACGTTAGTTTCATTTTTATTTAAGCGTCACTAAATATAGATTTTAATTTTTTTTTTTTTTTATTTGTATTTTTTTTTTCAAATTAATATTTTTTTTGTTATTGATTGTAATAAGAAATTATCTAAATAAATGTTTTTGCAATTGCATTTTGATAGAAAAGAATTTATTTATACGTTTAATTTATGATATTTTTTTTTTAACCACTTTTAATATCTTTTTCTTATCTGTTCCTGAACATTTCCGATGGAGTAGTTAAAATAACGGGTTGTCCATAAAATACATAAAGCGTTTTTCGACGGTTGTTAACCTTCCCCCTCTGCCATCTTTCATCCTCGTTACAATATTGTTACACTTAAGTAGT